TACAGCAGCAAGTGATGCCCGAGTGGAAATGGGAAAGGATTACTATGGACTTTGTGACTAAGTTACCCAAGACGACCGATGGGTTGGATGCTATATGGGTCATTGTCAATAGATTAACAAAATCCGCTCATTTCCTGCCAATAAAAGAATCTTACAAGATGGAAAGATTGAATAGAGTCTACATCAAGGAAATTATAAGACTCCATGGGGTACCTGTATCTATTATCTCTGACCGAGATAGTAGATTCACTTTAAGATTCTGGCAATCTCTTTAGAAAGCAATGGGAACACAGCTAGATATGAGCACTGCTTACCACCCACAGACGGATGGTCAAAGTGAGTGAACCATCCAAATGCTCGAAGATATGCTCCGAGCATGTGTGATCAATTTTGGAAAGTCATGGGATACCCACTTGCCTTAGATTGAATTCTCATACAATAACAACTATCACACGAGCATCAAGGTTGACCCTTTCGAGGCCCTTTATGGTCGTAAATGCAGATTTCATCTATGTTGGGCTGAGGTGGGTGACACCCAACTAGAAAAAGGGCAATCGCCAGCTAGTGCTCTCACAATACCGGAAATCATCTGAGAAACGACTACTAAGATAATCGAAATCAAATCTCGACCTCAAGCGTCGCAGGATCGACAAAAGAGCTATGCAGATAAGCGACGAAAGCCATTAGAATTTCAAGTTGGGGACCGACTGTTACTGAAGGTCTCTCCATGGAAGAGAATGATCCACTTTGGGAAAATGGGAAAACTAAACCCACGATACATTGGACCATTGAAGGTTCTTGCCCGGATTGGTCCAGTGGCTTACAAGCTGAAGCTACTTGCCAAGCTCAGCAACGTACACCCCGTGTTCCACATCTCGAATCTAAAAAAGTGTTTATCATATTTAACTCTTGTCGTTCCTTTGTAAGTGATCGAGATAAACGAGAATCTCATGTTCATCAAAGAACAGGTCGAGATTATGTATAAGGAAGTGAATCGTACAAAACAGAGTCACATTCCAATTGTGAAGGTTCGGTGGAACGCAAAACGCGGACCGGAATTCACTTGGGAACGCAAAGACCAAATGAGACAGAAGTACCCTCAATTATTCTTGCATTCTCAAACCTAGTTTCAAAAAAATTTACGGACAAAATTCCCTCTAACGGGGGGATGATGTCACAACTAGCAAAATTTTAGCTAGGAAATTCTATGCTCTTGTATACATTATCTATGGTGACAAGTGTAACCTTGACATGATAAGATGTATGAAACTCATTCAATAACAACAAGTACAGTTTGGAATCACCAGTAAAGATCAAAACTTATACAAAACATTTCAATAGTCAACTTAGGGATTTAAGACCCTGATAATTTTGGTTTAAGTCCATTTTGGACAAGGATTTCCTTATTGGGCCTAATGGATCAATAAGCTTCCAATTTGACTATTTTGGGCTTAGGACCCTTAAATGGGCTCTAATTAGACTCACTTTCTTAAAAGTTAACATTTTCGGCTATAATGGGCAAATAAATTAGTTTACCCTTAATGAGCCTTGTTGGGCCATAACTAATCTAATTAACCCTAATGGACCCTAAACCTCTTTAATTGGATTTCATTGGGCCATGAACATCAATAAGGGCCCAATGGGCCGAAAACTAATTATTGGGCTTCACAAACTCGAGCAAAACCAAAAGTGGGCCAACTAAGTTCAATTCCATTTATACTAAACCAAATTCTCGGTCCATGTTAAAAAAAGGATTAACGAAGGAATTAGGAGGTGATGACAACTCATGATTATCTAACATATTTCTAGGTAATCTCAAACACCCATGAAATATTTACCCTCCATGCCAGGCCTTCTCTTCCCTTCCCGTTTTTCTTCCTCTCGGCCGAAGATAAGCCCACAACGCACACACACATTTTCAAAACTCTCTCACACACTCACACGAATATCCCTCTTCTTCCACAAATATTTCGAGATTTTACGTGTGTCTTCAAGAGATTCTCATCTAAATCACCATTCTATGGTAAGTTGTTATCATACTTAAGTCTTTGATTTTCATCCTTTAGCTAATAACATTCTCTTATGAAGCTTGATTTCGTGATCTAACACCCTAGAAGCCATCTAAGTCTGAAAACTACTTCAAGGTGTTGCTAGGACCAAAAATCTCTTCACTTCTTCTTCAAAACCGAAACACCAAAGCAAAGGTGAGTTCATACCCCTTGTTTTCGGTTTTTACATGATCTTTGGGGGAGAATAAAAGTAAAATTTGTAGATCTATGTGTTATATGCTTGATATGTGTGATTTCTTGGTTTACCTTGTGCAAATATGCTAGATCTAAACTCATCTCAACATTTTAAGCAATAATGAGTAATAATCCATGTACTAAGACACCTTATACGTCATAATATCAAGTTATAAATACTTACATGTTTAAGATGTAAAAATTTTAAAGCAAAAATCTTGTTAAGGGCCATATTTGTCAAGAAAAGAAAGATAAGGGCAAAAAGAGACATTTTTTGGTTTTATAAGGATCAAACAAGTCATACTTGTATAAAAATGGGTTTTTATGATAAACATGCTCTCCAAAGGGCCAAAAATGTAAATTTTAGCTTAATGGGCTAAATATTTGGGCCTCGCCATTTCAGACCCAAAATTGCGAAAAATAAGAAGTTTTGGGGTTAAAAAGGTTTTTTGATCAAATTTTGAGCCATAAATCTAAATAAACCAAATTTAGAGGTGAAAATAATATTTATTTCTAAATTGGGACTAAAAATGTAAGGTTTTTGGATTTTGGGCCAAAGTTGTAATATTCACGGGATTTGGGCAAAAAGTGAAAAGTTTTAACATTTAAGGGCTAAAAATGTTAATTCTTACAAATCATAGTATCCACTAGATAGAACTCATAGTTTTCATATAACACTTAGGTACTTGATACTTAAATGTTAATTTAATATTTGTGAATGGCTTGCAAATATTTATTGAAGTGTGCGAGTTAAGAACAATCAAGTTAGAACTATACTCTTGGAGTTTAGTTTATTAGTTATTTTTAGAACATAAATTACTTGTAATGTAAAACAATATTTGTTTTGGAACAAAGTATGTTTTAATTTAGCATGTCTAAATTTATGTCTCAATTATTTTATTCAAATTTTTGATAATTTACTTAATCGTTTTTCATAACGACAATATTCATATCCTGAAATGATTAACTTCTATTTATGAGACTTGATCTCTTAATAGAATTGTAAAGTAAATATTAACATTTTATAAATAAAATTAAGTTCTATATACAAGCACTTTTAACTTAAACTAATTTTAAATCAAACTTATCTTGGACATTGTTATCTTTATCATATATATATGACATTCACATATTCCAACTTCAAGAAAGGGATCATTAAAGGCAAATAATGTAGTTTATTTGACACATGTGAACCTTATTTATATGTAGAGGCTTCATAATGATATTTTCACTAAGGTGTAGAGAAAATAATCAAGTAACTATACAATTTGGTGAATGACTTCCTTTCTAATGAATGTATGAGATTAAGCACAGCATGCCAGATCAACTTTATTAACAACTATACTGGTGTTAATTATATTTTATGTGGTAAAGCATAATTGTGAAATCTTGTTGAAGGTTTCAAAAGTTGAGATACAAACTAAGAACCATGCCTTAATGATTATAAATGATGAATTAAAACTTACTTAGTATTATTTACTTTCTAATCGGTAGAAATAACCTCTTTTAATCTGTTTGGGATAATACTTCGATCACTATTAATTGTATCTTGAATACAAATACCAACTAATAAGTAGATTATATAATTTATAAGATTTAGTATGGAAAGCCTCCATCCTCATCTTAGGTAATGTTTTATGGATTTGAAGTCGATGTTGGACTAAAGCTTCTAAACCGAAAATCTACTAAATACATATTTGTATAATACTCTAAATGTGGCTTAGATTATTATATGCACACCCGCCAAGAATAAGTTCTCTTATTCTTGTGAAAGCTAAGTTAGAAGAAAGCAATCTTCTAATGACAAAGCAAGTGGGAGGTACATGGAACTTGAAGCAAGTGGGTTGTCCTTTTCTCTTATTCCCTGACTCTCGCTTACTACTCTTAAGCTTGGGGTTTGGAGTGCCTTGATATGTGATCACTTGTTGGTTTCCATGGTCATTACTTCAACTGGTGTTGTTGACGCTATTTCCTCCTCTGTTGGTGTTGTTTGCATTAACTTGTACCATACTAGCAGTTACGGCAGTGGTGACAGCAACTTGGAACGTAGTAAATTCCATTTGCAAGAGTGGTGCTTCACGGGTGTGCTCGTTATTTCTGTGGAATGACATCTTCTGCTGCATGATGATAAGTAGGGTCGTAAGTAATGATGGCCATTTCCGGTGGTGCTCTATAATTTTCGCATTTTCTCGTATGCTTCACAATGCTTTGATCTATATCCCTATGGTATGTTTATGATAGTAGGAAAATTTTCAACTTGTCATGAATATTAAGTCTTATTCATACAGTTCATAGGTTATCTTAGTTTCAAGGTTCTTGAGTATCTAACGGTTTCGATGGTTTGTTTGTGCACATAAGCGAAACCTTATATTAAAACATATAGCATTTCTGCTAGAAATAGCCATTTTTAATACAGGAAAATTTGCCTAAATTACAAACATATCATAGGAAAATGTACAATCCGACACTATTACGACATAATATCCATAGAAACACATTACTAGTAGGAGGTACGGCTGGTTCATATACTGTAGAACCTATAAGAGCAAGTAGTAGAGCAAGTCCCATCGGTAGTGCTGACGATGGCACTCAATCGTCGAGCTGACATATCAGAAGTTCAGTCAATTCATTTGCCTCTTGGGTGATTACTTCTACCCTTTGCTCGGCTCGTACAGCCCTTGCTTCGGTTGCAAAGAGTTGACTCTTGAGATTCGTTATTTCTTCCTCAAGAGAGCGTAAATGGTATGCATCACCCCTCTAAACTGTGTGTGGATTTATTGGGGCTTTCGATAGGTGGGGTTCATTGCGCGCCTCATCAACTTCCTTTCCTTCATCTAACTCCTGGTCAAACTCGTCGCATTCGTAATCAGTTACCACATACTCTTCCGGTTCCACTTCGGGTCCCACCTGTTGACCCATGGCAGGGCCTCCATTGGGGTTTTCTTCATGATCTTCCTCAATCACTCCTTGAGCCACTAGCTCTTGGTAGAAGTGTACTCCTTGCTGATCATCATCCAAGGTGACTGCATGGGGCGCAGGAACGAGTCATGTTTTGATTATTCTCATAGTATTTTTAATTATTAGTGTTTGGATTCCCTAGAGTTATTGAGAATGGGGTAGGCTTTTGGATTCATTTCCAGCTATAGTTACTCCCGAACACATGTTGGTTATAATCTGAATAAATATAGTTGATCAGGCTATATTTATCCCTAATATGACTACATAACTACCCAGGTTTAACCATAGTGTTCAATTTCCTCCAGAAGCTTTTATTAGATATTTTTAGGTTATTATCCAAATATAAGCACATAAGTGTGAAATTTTGTTTTGTTCAGAGTTATTTAGTCCCTTGTTGGGTTTATAGTTGCATATCAATGTGTGGTTAGATATGCCAGTTCACTATAAACAGAGCTCTGATACCAACATCTCACACCCCCGAACCGGACGGCGGAAACGTCCTAGGGCTCGCGTGACTTAAATTGAAATATCATCACAATGAATATACATGAAACATAACATAAACATCACCATGCATTAATACATTACAACTAATATTGTTCACATCAATTACATTGTCTAAATATTATATATCCATAGCATAAAATGTTTGAGAGTTTTCAAAACATAACTTCCTAACACACTTGGTATTGTTCTTCAGCTTATCTGTTACCTGAGAATACAAGTTATTTTGAAAATATCAACATATAGAATGTTGGTGAGTTCATAAGCAGGTTTGATATGAAAATTTTTTTTGTAGTTTATAAAACGCAGAAAATCTGATATTTTCTGAAACGATAATTGTTTATACAAAAAGTGTGAAGATCCATAGGTATATGTGTGAATGATTTCAAATCGTGTATAAATGAGAAGGTTTGCATTATAGTTATTGAAAGTACAAATGAATAATGTTGATTTCCCCGGAAAACCCGATGTTCTCTGATAAAACAGTATGATCGTTTTTTATTATTGTATTGTCGCGTCGAATGGATATGATTTCCACTAATTACTTAGATGGTATTGGATTTTTATGTGAGTCGTTATAACCACGCATGATAATGATTACTTCATCTGTCTTTGCATTCTAGTGAACGTCGGAATTGATCTTAAGATTTTGTCACCCTAGACTGGCCGATTGTAACTGTAGTGAACATCTTAGGTGTGGGGGAGTCACCCCCGTATAGATCTATACACAAACTCTCGCTCTCCCTCCAGGAAACTTTGATTTTAAGTACAGACTACTACCGAAACATATTGGTGTCCCCCGTTATTACTCACTTAATCCAATGAATTTGATTAACCTTGATTAACAACTAGATTTTTGTTTACTTTAATAGAAGGTAAGCCTAACAGATGACGAGAAGAGGACCACGAGGTCCTACAAATCACGTATGTTATTTAAGGTTGTCGAGTACACGAAGGGCGTGTTGGCCTATTTTGCATGTGATTTATTTGGACCTTACTAGCAATGATAATGGGCCACTAAGGCCTAATAGCATGTAAAAGCCATTGAGGGTCCCTTAAGCATGTAATTGGGTTACGGGAAGCCCAATAAACATGTATTATTTATGCTAGGCTCAAAAGTCATGTTAATGAGTCACGAAGGCCCAATAAGCAAGATTAGAATCTTTCAAGAACAAAATTTTGAATGTTTACTTGTTTTGTATAGTATAAATGTTGGGAATTTTGTTTGACAATTGTTGAATCGCAAAGGTACAAAGTTTGTCGATTGTTTTATAACGATATTTAGATTTATGAAAATATATGTATATTTTTCATTCTAAATTCATAAGTTATAATGTGGTAATTTTGATCCAAATATCTTAATAATAAAATAATTGACTCAAAAATATTGGTTTGACCTATTTAGCCCATCTTTAATAAAAATGAGAATTTTAGTCCCTTTTTATAGAAAAAATGACATTTTAGGTCGTTAAACTATTTTTCTTAACATTTTGGCCCAAAGACTTATTTAGATAAGGTTTTCAGCCCAATGTTCACTTTTTGGCAATTTCAGCCCCTTTAGTAAAAAGATTTTCATTTATAATCAAAAAATTTCGCAACTTTACATTTTAATCTTTTTTGGCAAAAAGGGTCATTTTAACCCCTGAAATAGATTTATTTACTTTTCTACCCACTCTTTTTGAGAAATTTACCATTTCAGCCCCTTAAAAATCATATTTTCACAAATTTACACCTACGGGCCGAAAAGCCTAAAATTTTAGCCCAATAGGCTACAATTTACATTTTTAGTCCTTCGGAAAGCATAATGTTCATAAAAACTTCTATTTTAATTGTTTTGACCTTTTGATCCTTGTAGAAACCGTGAATGATATCTTTTTCCCCAACTTTTGTTTATTTTTCAAAAATGGTCCAATAACAAATTATGTGTTCTTGACGTGTTAAGTGAAATATAACCTAGATCACATATTTTTCCTTCTTGAACTATAGATCTCGACTATATTACATTTTTGGCACATATTTACCACATAAACACAAGAAATCACACATAACATACAAATACACATAGATCTACACATTTTACTTGTATTATCCCCCATAAAACTTGTGAAAATCGAAAATAGAGGGGTATGAACTCACCTTTGCTTGTTGTTTTTAGTTTTGAAGAAAGAATGGAAGAGTTTGATGTTATTTTCCGTCCTAGCAAGCTTTCTTGAGTGGATCTCGGATTTAAGAAGCTTCGAAGGAGTATATCACAAAAATTGTATGAGTTAGGAAGAAGTTTTAATGAAATAAAGAAACTAGGTTATGGATCTAATCAATAACTTACCAAAGATGATGATTCTTATGGAAGAACCTCCTTGAAATGTTCCAAGATCTCGAAATTTCGATGGAGAAGAGGATATGCTTGAGAGTGTTTGAAATGAAAGTTTGAAGAGGTGTGTGTGTTTGGTTCTCGGCTAAAGGGAATAAGAAGAAGAGAGGAGAGAAGTTGTCAGGTGATAGATGCATGGAAATGTCAGAATAATGAATGGAAATCCACCACGTAATAAGGAGGTAGCTAACCCTCCTTAATCCCCCTAATTTCCTTTTAATTTCCCCTTTATATATATATATATATATATATATATATATATATATATAGTTGGGTGTGGGTCGAGAATTGGGCTAGAAGAAAGGAGTTGAGTAGTTTGGGCCATTAGGTTCCCTAGCTCGAAATCATGGGCCCAATTTATTATTTTTCAGCCCATTGGGCTTTTAAGATATCTTACGGACCAATAATTTTTAAAAGAGTGAGTTTTACGACCAAATAAAGCTTATTAGTTTAGTTAAGGCCCACTAGGGTAATTTATTTCATTTTATGCCCATTATGCCCCAAAATGTTAAATTTTATGAAAGTGGGTCCAATTAGAGCTCAATTAAGGGTTCTAAGCCCAAAATAGTGAAATCGGAAGCTTATTGGTCCATTAAGCCCAATAAGGAAATCCTAGTCCATAATGGACTTAAACCAGGATTTCTAGGGTTTCCAACCTTTTGTTGACTATTTGAATGTTTGTACAGAGTGTTTGATTGAAATTTTGTTGTCATTGAATAAACATCATACATGCTTTCAGGTTTTAATCACAATGTTATCTTTGTTAAGTGTTTACAAAGCATCAGAATTCCTAGTTGTGACAAAGGTCGTACACCCTAGTGCCATGGGAACCCCCCGAGGTCTTTACCTAGGATGCCGTGGAAACCCACCAATGTCTTACACTTCAGTGCCACGGGAACCCCCCTGAAGTCTTCCATGCAAGCATCACAAGTACAGTTATCATACCACATACCACATAATCAAATAGCATATCACATAGTAAATAATGGACCGGCCTTGGTGCCTTCGACCCATTGGTATGGTGAGAAGACTCACCTCTCAGGGAATGCCGAACTGGTAAAATCAAATCCCAACACACTGCTCCAAACACAATTGCCTACAACTACCATGCGACTGACTTCATCAAAATCCCGAAATACCAATGATACCTTTAAGGTCAAACTTGGTCAACCATGTTCAAAGTCAAAGTCAACAGTTTAGGTTGACCCAACTTGTCGAGTGCACTTGCCGACTCGGCAAGGTCCTTCAGTTCTCAGAAAACCGGGAAAAATCCTAGCCAACTCGCTGAGTTGACAGGACAACTTGTCGAGTTTGCATAATGTTCATAGGATCGGGGAAACTCGGGTTAACTTGCCGAGTTCACAGGGCAACTCATCGACTTTTTCCTAGTCTTTACATGTTCAATTACTTTTCTAGCGATTCTAAAAGTCCAAACTATAGATATGATCCCCTAAGTTGAAGATACCACATAAAGTTGCTAACTTTATGTCCATGCATGTCATTAAGGGCTAAAACACTCAATCATTGCTTCTTAAAGGGTTTAAGGCATGAGGGAAGGTCATGACTTAATAAAGATGGCAACTTTACATCAAAAGAGGCCATGAGATGTCCAGATCTAAAGTCATAGCTTCATGACATGCTCAAATCCAAGAATGGTCCCAAAATGAGCTAATAATGACCATAAATTCCCACATGAAGAGATCTAGTAATTAAGTGACCTATGTATCAACTTTTTACCTCAATATGGATCCCACAACAGCAAAGACACCATATCTACAGCCTCTCCCTTCAGCTATGCACCTCTTACTTCAAGCCTTCTTTAAAAAAACACCAAAAATGCACTTGTTAAGCTCTCATACACTCAAAATGGTAGGAAAAGCATGAACTAGGGTTTCTCTAGACAAAGGGGCGATAAGGGAGGCTAACAATGAGGTTTAAGGCCTTTAAATAGGGCACAAACCCTGAAAATTAGGGTTTTCCTTTCCAGTGTCTACTCTTCAAGTTGGGGCTCCTAAATCATCGAGTTGAGTCCTTATGTCGCGTCTAAATTAATCTTTACACGACGAGTTGGAGCTCCCCAACTCTTCGAGTTCCAGCCCAATACCCTATAATATTGAGAAATAAATAATATCTAGACCAACCATTATAAATCTCCCCCACTTGAACTAAAATTCATTCTCGAAGTCTGCTGAGTGAAAGAGGTCCAGATAATTCTTCCTTATCTCATCATCCAACTCCCAAGTCCATTCGGAGCCTCTTCGGTGCAGCCACTACACCTTAACTAGCCTCACTTCCTTGTTCCGTAGAGCTTTTTTTTCGGTCTAAAATCGTTATTGGCTTCTCCACATAATTCAGTCTCTCATCAACCTGAATATCATCCAAGGAAATGACTGCAGCCTCATTAACGGCATACTACCTAAGCTGAGACACGTGGAAGGTGTTATGGATCTGGCTAAGCTCGATCGGTAGATCCAATAAAAAGACCACCTTGCCAACATGAGCAGTAATCTTGAGTGGGACAATGAATCAGGGACCTAACTTTCCCTTCTTCTGAAACCTGATGACACCCTTCCATGGTGACACTTTTAGCACGACGAAGTCCCCCACCTGAAACTCAAGATCCGAGTGACGCCGATCAGCATAACTTTTTTGGCGGCTCTGCTCGACTCGTAGCCTATTGCACACCTATTGGATCAACCCGATGGTCTTGAGTACCACCTCGGTGCTTCCCATGACTTGATGCCCTACCTTGCCCCAACACACGGTAGTTCTGCACCTCCGACCATACAACATATCAAAAGGCAGTCGATCAATACTAGCATGATAACTATTGTTATATGAAAACTCTGCTAGTGGAATGTATGTATCCCAACTCCCTTCGAAGTCCAATACGCATGTCGTAGCATATCCTCGAGTGTATGGATCGTCCGCTCGCCCTGGCCATCTGTCTAGGGGTGGTACGCATTGCTAAAATGTAACTAAGTTCTGAAAACTTCAAGGAACTTCCTCTAAAACCTGGATGTAAAACGGACATCCTAGTCAAAGACTACCGACATTGGCACCCCATGCCTGGGCACCACCTCTAGCACATAAATATCTGTTAATTTCTCAGCAAAGATACTCTCAAAGATTGAAATAAAATAGGAACTCTTCGTCATCCTGTCCATAATGACCCAAATAGAATCCATGCCCCTCGCCATCCTTGGTAATTTCATGATGAAGTGCATGGTGATCTCTTCCCAATTCTACACGGGAATAGGTAGCAGCTGAACCTTGCCATAAGTTCGTTGATGTTCAGCCTTGACCTTCCTGCAGGTCAGCTGAAAAGCATGGCTCTTCACCACAGGAGCATCCACCTTGACAGAGCAGTTATCATTGATCCTTAATGTGGCAGGCACAGGCACCACCACCGCTCCTCCCTTTCCCTGCAACCTTGGACAATCGTCCCTTTTATGGCTGATCTGGTTGCAGTGGAAACAAATCAAGCACTTCTTGGGGAAGTCCCTACTCGCGTGGCCTGGTTGACCAGATGTGTAACATACTGTGCCCGTCACCTGACAAACTCTGTTGTGTGACCTCCCACACTTGGCACACCGACCACATCCTTGTTGGCCCCTACCAGAAGAATCCGAGGTCTTAGGCTTTTTAGCCTAACCTACAGCTGTTTGTGCCTGTTCTGACTTCCGCTTGGTGCAGAACTCCAGCTCCATCTCCCGCTCTCGGGCCTTCTCCACCATCTTATTCAGGGTTTTGCACGCTAAAAATCTCACGAACTCACGGATATCATCCCTCAGTATGGAGTGATACCTCGTCCTCCTCATATCCTCATCTATAGCATAGTGCAGAATCAATAGTCCTCATTCCCGAAACTTGGCGGTGATCTTCGCCACAGTCTCGGTGGTCTGCTGCAATTCCTGAAACTCCCTCACTACATGTTGCACCTCAATGGATGGTGCAAAATCCAAGTCAAATCACCTAACAAACTCCGCCCATGACATCTCAACCACCCCAAGCGATCCCACTTGGTGGGTTACCTCCTCCTACCAGTCCCTGGCTCGATCCCTCAACATGCATGAAGAAAATCCCATTTTTTCCACCTCGGGGCAAGAGCTCGTGTGTTGGGCGTTCTCCATGTATTCCACCCAACATCGGCTAACTATGGGGTCCCGGACCCCAAAGAACACAAGCGCCCCACACGCCTTGAACTCCCGGAACGAGGGAGTTCGGGTCCCGATCTGGCCCGCAACAATCTCGACTTGGAAAGACCTGAACCGCTCCTACATGATCTCCGTCAACCTCTCCTTAACAGTCCTGAAAATAACTAGGGTATCATCAAGAATGCCCTTTGTAACCTTGGTTGCAATAAGCTCACGTAACCTCTCGTCAATGGGCTCTGTAGCATAGCCCGACCCAGATCCGAATCCTAATCCTAGTCCCCCTGCTCCATGTTGGTTCACCACCATTTTGATCTGAAATACCATAAAACATAATGATCAAGATATTCAAAAGGGGATCCTTTCACACCGGTCTCCTTAGAGCTTCCAAATCTAACATTAGTCTGGGTATAGGTCCTGTGCTTTCAATAGTACAGGCCCAATACCTCCTTCCACACCTAGCTATACCTTCCCCAGGGCTCTACCTGATAACTCCAATTCGTCTCAGAAAAAAAAACATATCTCATAGACTACTACATAACTCAAACCCTAGGTTATCCTAAGATTTTCTCAATCCCATCAAACAAGAACTGAAATCAATCATAACAGGTTGCCTTATGCATGCAAATTATACACAGAACAAGATCAAATAGACTGTCGAACAATAGACTCTACGCTAGGACCACAACCAAACAAGGAACACGAAATAACGCCAAATCAATTATTCTAAGGCTATAAGATCTTAACTCTATATAATTTTGAAAGCATACACATAGCAAGATCCATACGATTATTACATTCTAATTATCATTATAACATGGCTAACATATTGGTGAAAACACTTACTTGAGCTTCGCCGATTACGCGCATTGCACTCTCCTTTTTTCTTTCAATAAATCGGTTTTAAGAAATTTTTAACTTTGATTTTGAAAAACAATTTTTACCATTTCGTCAGTTTGAGTTCTGACACACCCTAGAGTATGTCCAAATCCCTCAAACCAAGGCTCTGATACCAACTTGTAATGGCCCAAATTTTGGATAAAATTATTTCATTTTTATATAACAAATTCATTTCCATAAATCATAAACTTCCAATCACAATTTTTTTCAAAATACATAAAATCAGATAATTTATTCATAAAATCAGAGTGTCCCAAAAACAAAACGCTAAGGAGTGCTTGCAACGTCATCATGCCAGGCTCTTGCCCTTAAATCCTGAAGTAACTAAAACAACCAACAAATTGTAAGCTAACGCTTAATGAGTTCTCCATAACATACCCCACACAATCCATATAAACATAAAAAGCATAACAGCCATATAAGCTACATAAGCCACACATACAAACATATAACAATGCCCTGGAAACCTTCCAGGGTCTTAATCCAGTAGCCATGGGAACCACCACATGGTCTTAGCCCAATGCCTCAGGAACACCAAGGTCTTAACTAAGGATTCCATGGAAACCCTCTAAGGTCATACACCTTAGTACCTCTAGACCCCCCCCCCCCCGAGGTCTTCCATGCAAGCATCATAAGTACAATTAGCATACCACATACCACATAATCAACTAGCGTATCACATAGCAAATAATAGGTCGGCCTTGGTGCCTTCGACCCATTGGTGTGGTGAGGATACTCACTTCTCAAGGAATGTTGAACTGGTAAAATCAAATCCCAACTCACTACTCCAAACGCAACTGCCTACAAGCACCATGCACGTGACTTCATCAAAATCCCGAAATACCAAACATACCCTTAAGGTC